TCAATTTTTCCTCAAATAAAAACATTGTATTACTCTGCCAAAAACATATGTTTGTCATTAACCATATTTGGACTAATCCTGCAGTTACCATGTTCCTCGTTCATGGCTAAAGCCAAGTGGAAATGTGCTGGTTTTATTCGAGGAAGCGGGTGGAGATCCAACGAAGATATCATTTGTTACCAGAGAGACGGGAAGTGTATGCTCAAGAATATCAGAATCTCATCCAACCCCTATAGACATGTGGGTTTCTTCAGAAGAAGGCGCGGGAATGCAAGCGGGGCCCACCATGTCTATTGAGTGCCCTCATCGTAATCAGCTCATATCTTCAATCAACTTTGCAAGCTTTGGCACACCTCAAGGGAGATGTGGAAGCTATAGCCATGGCAAATGCAGGAGCAGCAATGCTCTTTCCATTCTAGAAAAGGTTAAAGACCAACTCTTCCTCTTGACTTAACTACTTCAGTATATAATTGAGGTAAGGGTTAGATTGGTACTCGAAGTTGCATAAAAAGTGTCAAATAAGTTCTTACTGTCCGGCTGTCCCCATTTGAGGCGGTTCCCGATAGAATTTTTTGATGAAATTTTTTGAGTATCTTATTCGTTAAGTCTAGTTTACTCATACCAAATTTCAGCTAAAACTTCAACCGGGAAGGCATTCAAATGAATTCTTGAAGATAATTGCGCTTTTAACTGCACAGTTATCTTCAATAATTCATTTGAATGCCTTGCCGGTTGAATTCTTAGCTGAAATTTGGTATGAATAAACTAGACTTAATGAATAAGATGCTAAAAAAAATTCGTCAAAAAATTCCACCGGGAACCACCTCAAATGAAGACGGCCGGACAGAGCCTCCTTTATAAGGACTTATTGACACTTTTTATGCAACTTCGAGTACCAATATGACCCTTACCTCGTATATAATTGTGTGTTAACATTATAGTTAATTTCAATATAAAAAATTGATTACAGGCTTGCCTTGGAACAAGAAGCTGCAGTGTTGGTGTGTCAATCAATACATTTGGTGACCCATGTGTAGGAATTACAAAGAGTTTAGCTGTTGAAGCATCATGTGCATGAATGGCATTACACGTATAGTTGAAACATAGAGGATAGTATTTCTCCAAATAAAGCTAATGCATCAATGTTTGGCTCTTCACTTATGTGCAACTGTAATTATAAAATTTATAATAATCAGAGTCCTTATACGGGAAAGTTTACTAATATATATGATTATACACACACGGTAACAATCAATTACAATACATGGTAATACAGGGTATTGTCAATTCAGTTTTTATTTTACACATGATTTTATTAATAATATGATATATATATATATATATATATATATATATATATATATATATATATATATATATATATATATAAGGAAAAGATCAAGTACAAAGTGTGCTTATTGTGCAAATATTTGTACGATGCACCTTGATGTTATTTGCATTGCATATTGAGGTTCAAAGTGTTGCACATTATAAAGTCATAAAAATAAAAGTTGCACATTAAGGTGCAACGAGTTGCACCCTAAAAAGTTGAGTTTTATTACAAAAATGCCACCTTGCCTTTATGCCACCTTGCTTTGTATATTGTGTACAATATTACAATCTAGTACTCCCTCCGTCCCACTATGATTGTCCCATTTTACCATTTTGGTCTGTCCCACTAAGATTGTCTCATACCTTATTTGGTAAAGTTTGTGTGGTTCTAAATCATTTCTACTTTTATCTTACTTTATCAATTCAATATCAACCACATAAACTCACTTTTATTAATAACCGTGCCACTTTCTCTTGTCCCAAACTTAGGGGGACGGAGGTAGTAATTATAAAGGGTATATTTTACGATTTCGCTATATATATGATACCAGGGATGCCCTAAGGAATAAAGGGTAAAATAAATAAATAAATTAATTAACTAACAGAGTTTTTGATGCACAAGTTCAGACAATGCCGCAGGTGCAGAGCATACTTATAGAATACAACAAAATTGAGGAACAAGGAGATATGGAAAACACAATAATATTTAAATTAGAACATAAATACAAGATGCAAATAACATGAAAGAAACAATCTAAAACATTAATGAAACACTTACAAGATTTTTTGAAGAAAATTAACTAATAATACAAAATATGGAAAATAGTAGGAGATCTTGCTCAATTAAAGACAAAGAGAGAAGAACTCGGTTTTTGCTATCTAAGAATTTGATTTTTGAGGTGGAGCGGACCTCCTTTATATAGGAGAAGTTTGGGAGTGAGGGTGTTGAGTGTGCTGTAAGAGAAATGCTAGAGGTACCCCATTTTTGGGTACCTCATTTGTACCTCACTCATTGAGTGGCTCACAAAATCCCAACCCTACAAAATAATTGTCTCACTTTAACTCATTGCCTTTGTGAACCACAAAATTAGGGAGGGGTATAAAATGGGATACAAAATGGGATAACTTTAGAATTTTTCTATAATCCCACTCCAAAGTTGAGTTTTGAGGGACGGTGAGTCCTTCTCACTTCTTGTTGAGTTCTATTAGGTGGGTGAGAGACCTTCCCACTTTTGGTTGAGAGATTTGAGTGGATGAGAGCTTTCACTTTAAGCAATATAATGTTGTCAACTATGAAGGAACATTTTAGTTATCTTTTTTCTTTTTCTTTTCTTTTTCTTTTGTATCATCGTTTTTCTTTTAATTTTTCTTTTTCTTTTGTATCATCTTTTTTCTTTTTGGAGTGGGCTAGGCCCAATAGAAATACAATATGGCCAAGGCCATTACAAAATACAAAAATAAAATATAAATTACACGAACAGTCTTTCACATAGGTGCTTTTTTGAGAAAGTTATAGCTAAGAGTGGACTCGACCTGGCAGTCTGGCCCAGCTCGAAACCGGGTCCGATACTATGTAGGACCGCACCGAGTCCATTTTTACCGCCCCAGTTCAAGACCGGGTACTAACGCTGGACTCGGGCCGGTTCGGACCCGGTTCGGGCCTGGGTCCGGCCGGGCCTCGGGCCAGGAAAGGGAGGCCCGAGCCCGAACCGCCGGTGGCCGGTTCCGGTCCCGGTTCCGGGCCAAACCGGGCCGGGCCGGGCCGAACCGGCCCAAATTTTTTTTTGTTCTCCTATTTAATCCCCTACCCCTCCCCCTCAACCCCAAACCATCCCAAACCACCTCAAATGGCCCAAAATACCTAATCCAACCTAAAACTTAAAAAAATTTCAAAAAAAAAAAAAAAAAATTAAAATCCGGCCCGGACCGGGCCCGAACCGGCCGGGCCGGTTCACCAAAACCTCGGCCCGGGCCCGAACCGCCCAGCAGCCGGGCCGGGCCGAACCGAACCGGTGGACCCACCGGGCCCCGGGCCGGGCCGGGCCAAACAGTAACCGGGCCGGGCCGGTTCCGGGCCGGGCCGCCCGGCCCAAGTCCAGCACTACCGGGTAGTTGACCGAGTAGCCGGCAGACCTGGATATGCGGGTACAATATTTGGGGACTAGACCGGGTGGTTCCAGGTCTAGTTCCAGTCCCAACTCCCCACGGTTAGCTGAATGTTTTTTTTAACTAAGGGGTGCTGGCCCAGGACAGGACCCAGGACTGGCCGGGTACCCTGGACCAGACCACAACTGGTTAAAAACCGGGTCAGTTTTGGTCTTCAATACTAGGGGACCGGGACCGGGTCTTCAGTTTCGGTCTTCAATACTAGGGCATCTGGAAATTAATCCACTCCGGTTTGGACCAACCGTTTGGTAAAGTTCTTCCAGTTCAGGAAATGGAAATCATAAAATAAAGGGAAAACTGTCAAATAAGTCCTTCTACTATAACGAAAAAGTCAATAAAGTCCTCGTACTAAAAAACCGTTCAATCAGGTCCCCCAACCTTTGAAAAACATTCAAATCAGACTTTTATTCATTAAACACCCGGTCAGCCGGTTGATGCACCCGCGTAGGTCAGAAAGGTCACCACGTGGCTAATTATACTCGGATCCTTTCCTTTTTTTCTTTCTCCCTGTCTCTTACCCTTTCAGCCTTTCTTCTTCGAGAATTCCTAATGCTCTTAAGCTTGCTACTACATCTTTTTGCTTCTCCCGTTTTTCTATGTTTTTCTTTTAAAATTTTCTCATTCGTTTGTTCTTCCATATTGTTTATTATACATCAAACTTGCCGGCAAGGATTGTTTATTCAAACCAATATTGTTGGTGCATAACATTAAAAAGAAAACTGACCTAAATCTGCACAAATTAGGGATTGCAGAAAGAAAAAATATAGAGAAATGGGGGTTTCATGAACAGAAAACTATTGAGAGAAAGGGGAGCTGACGAACAGAATATAATGTTGAATTAAACAAAAATGACCGGTGACATATGATTATATGAATCAAGAACTTTGCCGGAGTTTGTTGTTGAACTCTTCATGCGTCGTAAGGCAAAGGTATAAGGATGCCGTTTGCTGTATCTTGAGGGAGTAGGGATGAAGTTGAATTCGTCGACCAATTGATGAGGAAGATCTGCTTAAGTCGGGAGAAACTCCTTCGAGAAGTGTTCCACACTTCCACAAGAAGAAGAGGGCAAAGCATTCTGTATACTATCCACCTCCACCGGCTATAAATATTGACAGGGAATGAACAAATACGTGACAAGAATGAAGAAGAACAAAGAAGAAAACAGGGAGAAGGGAAAGGGGGGGGGGGATTTGGACTAGACGAAACATGAGATGTGGGAGGAAAGGTCGGTGCTAATCTAAGAAGGAAAGAAAAACAAAGAAGAAAGGAAAAGAAGATGAAAAGAAACTAAACTTGGCCACGTGGATCACCACATATGCAAAATAACTCGGTAACCGGTTGTTTACCGGATAAAAGCCTGATGTGGGTGTTTTTATAAAGTTGAGGTCCTTGATTGGATGATTTTTTAGTACAGGGACCTAATTGACTTTTTGTATATAGTACATGGACTTATTTGACAGTTTTCCCTAAAATAAATCTATGAAATAAAGACGGTCCAGACAATAATGATATTTTGAAACTGGTCAAGGAACAAATATTTTGTGTGACTCTCTTGCGTAATTGTGAAAATCATATTTGTTGAACTCAAGTAATCAGCTAGATTTTGGTGCTTCCCCTTTTTATTAAAACACAGCAATTAATAAATTTAAGAATTTTAAGATAAGTACATACATGTTACACTGAGGAGATTCCCAAAGATACAATAATCATCTGAGCATATGCAAAACACATAAATACTACCACCCAAAAAGTCACAATTTCATAACAATGCTTTAACTATTTGATCCTATTGAAATACTGGAAGCTCAGTTCTTGGTCGTAAATCAACAGTTGAGATGATACTTGAAGCTCCTTCTCCATCTTCAGGCACCATTTTCAAGAAGTAACTATGCCTATGACAAGAACAAAATTAATACCTAAATAATACTCCGTAATAATAATAATAATAATAATAATAATAATAATAATAATAATAATAATAATAATAATAATAATAATAATAATAATAATAATAATAATAATAATAATAATAATAATAATCGTAACAATGTTATTACTGTTACTATATTTATAACATATTAATCACAACAATAACAATAGTAGAGTAATAATCAAGGAGCATGTATAATTACCACCGAGAATCAGCAGTTAGTTCAGGGTGAAACGCGGTAGCTAGCATGTTCCCTTGCTTTACAGCAACAATCACTCTCTCTTCAGGAGTAAGAGATTCCTGTTTAATCTATACCATTTAAAGATGTGTATTAGGGTATCTTTGGATTCATGAAAAGGCAAAGAGGAAGGAAATGCCAAAACAAAGATCCTTATGTTCATTTTACCTTGGAAGAGAAAAGAAAATTAAAATATGTTTATTCATTTAAAGTTCTCGACATATTCAGATTCCCTAGTCTGCCATATTTCACATAAAAAAATAAAATGAGACCCTTAGGAAGTAGTGAAATCAGAGAAATCATAATATATTATATTGTTGTCATATTACATTCATTCTTTTATTTTTCCACATTTTCTTTCGTATCAATTTTGCTTCCTATTTACATTCCCAAAAACTTTCCAAGTCTGGAATGGGACCCTTAGGAAGTAGTGAAATCAGAGAAATCATAACACACATGTTGTTAGGAAACTTAAGATCCTAAACAGTACTGTTCCTAAACAGTACTGTTCTACTACAGTACTTGAGATCATAGCAAATGAGGGGGTAAACCAAAACTCCAGTAAGTACAGAAATGGGGTGAACAGGATATTAATTCATTCATATGCATTTTCACAGTTAATAAAAAAGGGGGGTTTTGTTTCGGTTTAGGTCAATTCATTGGGTTCATTCAGTAAGCATGTTTGTCAGTCAGTTATGGTTTGTTCGGTTCGGTTTAACCTATCTCAGTTGCGCTTTTGTCAGTTGCAGTCAGAGTTGTAGATTCACTTAACTTTGGCCAGTTATGCTGGTTTATAATGCAAAAAACTTAAACTATTCACCAAAACACAAAAGGATGGATTGGTTATGCATGGTGCTGGTTGGAGGGAGTATTAGTTCAGCTAGGCCATAGGGTAATCAAGTTTCATAAATCTCTTAAAATGAAAATATGACCGCTGCGGCACTGCGATCTAACAACAGATACTAAAAATGAAAGATGACATGTCATGCTCAATTAAAATCTGAATGTTAATGCTAAATTATATAAATGTTAAACCAAATGGCAAAAACAGGATGATAGACAAATGGACTGAAAGGGTGCAAGAGTTATGAAGGACTGAGGGCCTTGTTCTCACCTGTTGTTGGTCTTGAGTACAAGATTGAGAATCCACAGTTTTTGTGGATGGGAATGGAACATCTGCCAGAATTTCAACATCTGGACCAACTTGCAGTATTGCAGGTGCACGAATGAAAACAGCACGAAACGTTGGGGGGCCACCTTCATTGGCTGCAACCTTTGGAATAGCAAGCTCTGTCTCGAAGCTTTGCAACTATTATGACAAATGTTGTTATTGGAATTTTTAGTTAGAGTTTTGGAGCCCATTTAGAAAGAGTTATTTGGACAAAATGGCTGCTCTCTGATTCTTTTAAGGGAAAGCATTTGTTTATGTCAGTTTCAGCCAAATAAATCAAAAGCTGCTTAATATGTCAAACAATATAATAAGCCAGATATGGCTAACAAACGTAGCCTTAGTGTGGGTATACCATCATATGTAAACTGACTAAACTCATCCATGATATACATCAAAATATAATCAAAGAGATTGTATGAAGAAAATAATACGTTGAAAAAACCATGTACCCATTTTAGTAATACTACTACCTCCGTCCCATTTTATGTGTCTTACTTTGCTTTGACACAATTAGTAATGTGACACTTATTTTGGGACAACCCGAAAAGGAAAGTAGGACATGTAAAATGGACGGAGGGAGCACAATATTACAAACATGGATTTTTGTTTTTTGTACGGAGTGAATAATAATAAATCATAAGAAGACGAGTAAACATTAAACATTCAATGCCCTATACAATCCCAGGTGACATGAACTAGATGCATATAACAGCATTTCTTATTTTCATAATAAAAAATTGTGTGCCTTCCTATGATATTGGCAAAGTAGTCTGTTAAAACCATTCTCAGGAGTGCGAGATCTTCTCGACATCATTATTATTTTTTCCTTTGCGCTTTGCACGGCAAAAGATTTGAATTTTATCAATACATCAATTACCCCTTTACCAGTAATTTTTCGTTCAGTCACCATCCTTTCAGGTATTAAAACATTGAGTGTGGAAGGAAATAGTACATGTATGAGTTACCTGGCTCCCAAAAAAGTTGCGATGTACAGTGCAATCAAGACCACCAATCAGTTCCTGCCCTCCGGATTTCTGCCCTGAGGAAAAAGAAAGGAAAACTAATGATAGACTACAAAATGTAAAGTTTAATAAGCACAAAACATCTAAAGAAACCCATAATTGTAATAATGCTCTTCTCTAAGATAAAAACTTCTCAAAGAATTTCAAAAGTAAGAGCAAACACAAACAGTTTACTAATAATCAAGCGATAGGCACTTACCGATTAATTTATCTGCCAAGAAAATTAGGCCTGCACAAGTTCCCCAAACTGGCTTCCCCGTTTTCACAAATTCACGCAATGCGGGAAACTGCAATTTTAACTATAATAAAGCTACAAGATAGATCCATTCCAGGCATTGATTCAGACGTGAAAGTAAAGAAACATGCCAATCAAGACAAAAGAACCATAAAAGGAAGCAAAACGGAATGCTAAGGTACCCTATTCTCATTTCGATGAGATAGTCTTTAAAGAAAATATTAGAGTGCATATGACAGCAAAGAAAGGTACTTTCATAAATTGAGTAGAGAATGGGTGGTCTCATTAGCGTATATTTTTTATCTTCTAAACATAATTTTTGGGATCTCATTCATCCTTGATTGATATTTAATCTATTACTTACCTTCCATGTTGGGCATGTTTGTATTTCAGTGTTTTGGTGGCCAAAACGCTACATTTAACAGTGTTTTACGTTGAAAAAGAATGGCGTTTCGGGGCGAAACGCGGTTACACAAACACCCCCATTATCTCTAAGGCTACAAATAGAATCCCTTTTACAAGATCAAGGGAGGAACAGCATAGCTATTGACCAGAATATAAATGATGTGGTCAAGACTAGATGTTATCTTGCTGGAGGGTTTTTTCTTGGAAGTCCGTGTTTTTTCTGTACGCCATCATTGAGCTATCATATTTCTTAGTATATGCTCTTTTACTTTAAATAACTCTCTACCAGAAATGTGAAATTTTGATAGTCTATCCGTACCATATTGCCCACAAAGATAGTCCACTGTTTCATTTTCATTTATCACACAAAGATAGTCAACTCTTTATTGGGTTTGTAGAATTTCTCTTTTCCAAATTTCCCCTACTTAATCACCAACATCAAAATTAAATGTTAAGGGGACTACATAGAAATTACAAGATTGAACTTAAAAAGGGAAAAGGTGAGAATTGCATTCAAAGGTAGTTATTTCAACTCAAATATTAAGAAAAAATTCCCGAAATGAGTAAAAGATACCACATTTGTCGTGTTCAAAGGTTCCCATTGCAAAAAGGCACGATTATTTAGACCATAATTAAATATGCTAATTAGAGATATTTTGAGAAATAGCTTTGATGGGTATATAATATAATGGGTTATTGATTATAACTGTGATGTTATAGATGTATTATTTTTAATACTTGATGATTAAATTGCTATGTAAGAGTGTTAATTGTTTCCTAGAATAGAAATTGGGAACCTTTAGTTAGGATGTCCCAAAAAGGAAAGTGAGAACCTTTGAATGGGATGGGGGAATAGCAAATTTTCTTGAATAGAAACACATTTGTTTTCTCCCCAAAGTAGAACTTATGCACTGTTATTTTGGAAATACTAGTACTTTTTTAATTGGACCTAATAGGCCCTCATTTGGAAAGAAAACATACTTAGTCTTATTTTGAGGATTTTCTAAAATATTAATAATTTCTAAAATCAATGTGCAGCAATAAATACGAGTAGTAGACTATCTATAAGGGATGGAGGTAGAATCATAATTTAATATTCAAAAAATGCCACATATTTCTATCCAGTGATCTGGTTCAAGTCTACTGGCATAGATTCCACAATAAATATAAGTTTGCACACTATGGAAGTAAAATTCTTAAATTTTGCAGAATGTAGACCTACTATCCTTTGAACGAAATTGGGATGAATCCTGGAAGAAGCATACATGTATAATCAACCCAATATCCATGTATGCACATTAAAAAAACATAAATGAGTCTGCAAAGAGAGATAAACTAACCAGGTTGTGAAACTCTGCGACTTTAGCCATGGTGGTGCTTTCACCGCCGGGGATGATGAGGGAGGAGATGCTCTGCAGCTGCTCTGCCTTCCTTATCTCTACTCCCTTTACTCCAAGCCTCCTCAGAGCTGCCCAATAACATTAAACAATCCATAACCAGCAAATAGAAAAACATTCATTCATTCACTTAGAAAAGAGCTGAATCATAAAAGAAATGTACCTGATATGTGTTCGTTAAAAGACCCCTGTAAGGCCAACACCCCAACTGCCATTTCTTCCTTCTGCCTGCCCTCTCAGTTCAAAGACAAGGCAATGTAGTCCTGTGTGTTTTTGCAGCCTATGCGTGAAACTCCACACAGGTCTATTATAATAACAAAAGTTGATTCAACAATGTTTTTAATGAAAAATACGATAAAAAGCTGTACATAAAGTATTAATTTTGTAAAAACTGTTGGCTGTAGAAATTTGGTGTTCTAGTTGATCTCCAACAAGACAATTAGTATTCAAAATCTTAACTAAAGCATAACTTTTCAATTATCCTTTTAACTGAAGGTTGCTATCTCTAATTTCATTTTATATTGTTCTTTTTTAAATCGCCAATTTTATCAAAAACACTCCCCGAATAAATAGCACTAATGATTACATCATGTGATGTTTACCTTTGTCCTTTTGGGAAATTCTCCGGATTCTTTTAGAAATTTCCAATGGCAAATTAAATCTAATCCCATAAATTGATTTTAATTAGCTGCAAAAGTCTATGGCACTTCAAAGTTAGTTCTTCATGTTAAAGCAAGCTAAATTAAACTCTGGTTTTCATGAAGGAATCTGTTTGGTAACTGATGAACTGTGAAAATAATCGCAAGTATGTAAGCCGTGAAGAACAAGATATTTCCAACTTGGCGACATGATATTCGAAAGGCAGAACATTCAAAAAAAAAATCAAAAGGCAGAAAACTAACAACTCAGGCAGAAATGTGAGGAAGAAAACCAGCGTTCTGTATTACCGTCGTCGGTAAGAGGGCCAACTTGTGAGATATGATGAATTGCGTCTCTTAGAGCTTAGTTGCTCCCCGCCTCTTTTGAGTCTTCTACAGTTCTACGTAGTGCATATTGCCTTGCAAAATTGAACCAAATACACAGGAATACACAGGAATACACAGGAATACACAGGAATCACAGAATCACAGAATTACTCAAATGCCATATTTGGGCCAACTTTAATTTCAGATTCTTGAGCCTAGGCTGCGCCCAAGTTCAACCCCATGGGCTGGTGACAATTGGAGACGCATGATTTTCACCTCATGGATTGAGTGAGCCCGGTCTAGAAATGAATCGGATCCGAGCGGGTATCCGAAATAGGCCCAACACATACAATTTCGTATCATCTAATCGGGCCAATTCCAGCCACAAAATTTCTAAAATAAGATTTTTGGTCGAACATGGATCAAAATTAGTACCGTCTCAAACTAAATCTTACCCAGAACTTCTGATTCAAACATTGGGTAGAGATGATTTGGGACCGGAACTTGACCAGTTCGGAGTCAGAAACAGACTAGAACAAAGTGGACCAATGAAGGTGTCCATGCAATTGACACAATCCTACGAGGAGGCACCCCCTCACCCTTTGATAGACTGTAAGACAAGTGACGATCGGTCCATGAAAAGATGAACTCACAAAAGTAGATCTGGAGCATGACTCTGTCAATGAGAGCATAGGTTAGGTGTCCCAGATAACAGGGACAGAGTCAAGTACTGGGCCGGTATAAAGAATATTTTTGGGAAAAAATCACAAGATTTTTTTTAAAAAAATATAAGTATTTTTAAAATTTGGGGTTGGCCCTAGCTACGCCCCTACCGGATAGCAAACAAGAGGATATACAAAGGACAATGGCAATAAGCCCCTTGTAGGGAGGATGCCCTTCACCAGATAAAACGAGCTCACTCGAAGAGACTCAAACATGGTCACCGCCGGGAAGTGGCAACGACGGACCACATGGATGAGATGTTCGAGTTGCTCGAGAGGAGAATGACCAGACTTCGAGAGTGAAGCTCGCCATTGACACCAACAACACAAGGCAGCAACTCCCCAGCCAGACCACTTGGTCGGGGACTTCAAGTGTGAGGGGAAACCATCATCCAAATCAGGATAAGAACCACCTTCACTCTGAGAGTTCTAGCCTCTAGGTGCCCAAGTCCCCACCAAATATAGTTGATAGACGACCAAGCCCTATGAAGCCCTCCAATATAATGGTACTTCAACCGATGAACTATGATAGACGATCAGTCTGTAAGACGGACCCCCAATGGTACTTCAACCGAGTACTAGAACTGAATGCTCATGGAGCGTCAGATGATTATATTTGTCACTGGTTCAAACCCACTCTTAAAGGACCACACTATGAATGGTTCGATGAACTCCACAAAAATTAATGTCAACCCACTCTTGAAGGACCACATTATGAATGGTCCGATGAACTACACAAAAGTTATATCGCTTATTGATCAACTTTTTTTTATCAAATACGTAGTACTACATAAATTTAGATTTTTGTTGACTTGTGTAATAATAAAAATATGAAAGTTGTAGTTTTTTTTCCGACTGAATTGACAGAATTTGTTAAAGATGCATATTTAACTATTTTATATAATTTTTAAAGCTAGGAATTAACCAATTTAAAACATGAAGAGTTTCAGACATTTCTACCCCATAATTCAATCAATTGAACCAATTTTATTGATATAAAGGAACTCTAAAATAAGAAGTTTAAGGGGATGTTTGGAATTGCTTCTTTTTTAAAGCAGAAGCATAATCAGAATCAGTTTTCAGAAGCTGGTCCCCCCAACTTCTAAAAAAATTGATTCTAGGAGTAAATTAGAGCACCGAAATCACTTCTGCACTTTCACCAAACAGTCTGACTTATGCTTCTGTTCCCTGAAGAAGTAAAAACAGTTTTAAGAATTAGATCCAAACACCCCTAAAATTTCTATAAGCATGATTACACAAATACACACGCACCTTTACCATGACGGCGTTGCATTTGTCCCAATTGTCCGAATCATGTGAACTTCCATTTTAGAAGCATCAACAACAATTAAATATGGACAACAACAATTAAATATGGGGTAACTCATACACGTAGTATCAGGTATATTGCATATGTATCACACCGTATAAAACTTCTAGGACACCATAAATAGTTCTACCTCCGTCCCCCTAAATTTGGGATAAAGGTGTGTTGTGTGATTTTTAAAAAAAAAGTAGTATTGTGTGGTTGGCGTTGAATTGATAAAGTGTGAATAATGTAAGAATGAATTCTAACGACTCAAATGTTATCAAATATGATATGCGACAAACTTAATGGGACGAACGAAAAAGGTAAAACGAAACAAAGTTAGAGGACGAAGGGGGTATTGTTTTAAAAAAGTGTTTCTCGAAAAATGAGTTACTCAAAGAAAATATAGATATATAGTTAAACCTAAAATAGAAAATATGAAACCATTGCAAGAAATCAACTCTGTTTTCAAAACACGAAGTCATTTTGGTGGAAAAGAATTTCATCAAAACCCCTTTTACACCAAAATCCTTCCATTGGAACTAAAAATGATAGGGAAAGAAAATAATGCAGATATGTGGTCACCATGGGAAAGCGGCAACGAAGGACCATATGAATGAATTGTTCGAGTTGCTCGAGATGAGATTGACTAAGAAACGTGGTCACCATCGGGAAGCAGCAACGAATGACGAAAGGACCACATGAATGAGATGTTCGAGTTGTCCGAGAGGATATTGACTGAGAGTGAAGCTCGCCATCGACAATAACAATACATGGCAGCAACCCCCAGCCACGTATATAGTACAGCCGGTTGTACGGTGAGAACCGTACGGCCGGTTGTACGGTGAGAACCGTACAACTAGTGACATTTTTGTAATTTACATGAAATTCGCGTCTTGTACTAACTAGGCATTAAAACACGTCTAGTGAGCATGATACATATTTTATTGAACATTAGAAGCATAACGATGAGCATCATGATCTATGCTTCATCTCTTCGAATTTACTTTCTTTTCCTTATTTTTTTTTCTTTATAAAAACTTATTAATTATATCTATAATCAACTCTTATGAACTTCAGTATGCGAATTTAATGCAATATGATACTTTTGAAATAAGCATCATTATGTCATTTTACAAATGAGCATAATATGAATACCCGTTGAGCATACATAACTTATAAAATGAGAATTGATATGAAAATCATAAGTATACTTAATTGAACATCAAGACATTTTCATTGAGCACCAACTTGAAATTATGAGCACCAGTGATTTTCATTATGCGATTGTGATGAACATCGGGTCTGTTCTTTTCGAGTCTAACAATGAGCACCAGTGATTTCTGATTCATATATCTTCTAATTCAATTTCTTTTTATTATTATTTCCGTTTATAAAAAAATCTTAAATTATTATTATAATCAATTTCAATATTTGAATCCAATGTAGTATGATGCGTTTGAAATGTGAAACATTTTTAAATGAGCATACAACAATACCAAATGAGCATATGTAACTTACACAACAGTATCAAAAAATTCAAAAGCTCATTTGTGTATGCTCATTCATTTTGGCCTTATACTCATTTGAGTTTAACATAATATAGTATGATACAGATACACTTGAGCTTGAAATGTGCAACATTTTAAAATTAGCATAAAGATGTACCAAATGAGCATACATAACTTACAAAATAAGTATTAAAAAATTCAAAAGCTCTATTTGTATACTCATTCATTTTGGGTTTAAACTCATTTTTAATATGCTCAATATTGATTTGTGTATGTTCATTTCTTTTAAGCGTATAATCATTTGATTTTAATATAAAACTCATTTTTATAATATCATGGCAAATGTAATAGATTTTTTATAAAAAAAAATTGTGACAGCACAGAGCAGGTCAGAAATTAGTAAAGAGAGGAAAATAGGCTGCCAAGAATAGGAATCGCTCGCATAGGTCGTCTCTGCGTCAGCCAAACATCTCAGCCGTGAGTTGCACTTGGAAGCTTTGCTATCTGCGATCTGCGTTCGTGAGTTGCACCAGACTTTTGCAGAGGCCGTCCTTCGCCGTCTTCGTCAGTCAATTGCAGGGCTGAATCGTTTGTCTTCGTCGGTCAGTTGCAGGGCTGAATCGCAGGAGGTTTAATTACAAAAAAATCTGGTTGTACGGTGAGCACCGTACAACCGGCTGTACAGTGAGCACCGTACAGCCGGCTGTACGGTGTAATTTACCCCAGCCAGACCCTTAATACTTCTATTTATCTAAATATACATAGAAACAAAATATTTAACCGAACAAAAATACGTTGTACATTGTTCTAACTTAATATTTCTATTTTTATTTTTTCAACTGTTTTTATTTATCTATTTCAATAATTAAGAAATCTAAAAACATCAATTTTTACAATATAAAATTACTTCATTTAGCAGTTTTATTCCAAACCGCTATTCTGATTTATTCTGATAAACAAACGGAGCCCAAGGAGAGGAAAAATATTCCCCCCTAAATAAGATTGGCACAAAACAAAGTAATTTGTTTTCAAAAAAATGTTTTCATTAGCCAAGAGGCCCGGAAGTCCTAGCAAATGGCAATTCTCACCGCTAAGACTCAAAGTGTAGACTCAGGTAAGTCTAAGTTGTCTGAATCTACTAATCTATTAAAATTGATAAAATTCTGAATTAGTTGAATCTGCTGAATTGTGAGAAATATAATTGAAATATATTTTATTAATAAAATAAAGAAACATATATAAAAATAGTTAAATTATCTTGTATTATACGGAGTATCATTAACCAATTCAACCAAAAAAGTGAAAAACTAACTTCTATCTCACGTAGTCCGAGTATTATACAATTAAACACGAGAAATCAAAATTTAAGTATTTCATAAAAAATTGACCAATAAAACTAATAAACTAATAAACGGGTCTAAACTTTTGATTTCACACTAATATGTGAAATAATCAAAATATGTAAAGTTGTAGTTTTTTCTCTCGTTGAATTTACAGAAGACGCTATTTTAGCCTTTTTCTAATATTTTTTTGGATATATTGAAAAATATTTATAAAGGTATTGTTTTTATGATTCATCAAGACCAACTCTGAACTCTGTTAGAGTAATGCAATTTGGGGAATCAAGTAATCAACTCCAACATCAATATACGATAGTAATTAAATAAAAAAGGATTGCCACGTCATCTTTATCTTACATAAATATAACATTGCATGTTCAGTTTTTTTACTGAGGTTTAAAACAGCACCCTAGTCACGTACCATTCACCTTTCCTTAAACACATGACGGTGAAATATGGTAAAATAAAAGAAATGGTACACAAACAGCTGCTACTAGATGACATTTGGCGTTGCTGTTAGTTTTGCTCTCTGGCAGTCCGGCACCAGCAATTGTACTCAGGAATGCGGCCTTGATCTCCTATGACCCACTCATGTTGTGCTACATCCTCCAGACTCATCCTTTGGCTTGGATCTGTTCAATGCACAATCACTCTTTAGTGACAACTGACAAAATGGTAGGGTGGGGTGGGGTTGGATGGGGTGGAGATGGATGTGGTTGAATAGGAATGGGGTGGGGTTGGATGGGGTTGAATGGGACTCAGCACTCCTGGAGCACCAGAGCACTAAAGGTCTGTTTTGTACACAATAATACAAGGGAAAGAAAACATGGAGGAAAAAATAACAAAAAGATACCCAAAAGTCAAAACTTGGTTGATTGATTTTAAAATGTTTATTCAGCTCATTTTTTATCTCAATTCTATTACACATTCAAAAAATCCTTTCACGAGATCAAACCAGACCATACTTAAACAACCAGGCCCGAACTGACATAAATAGATCAGATAAAACCAAACTTAGGCATTAATAAGATACACATGATACCATCATACCAGACCAATCAAAGCTAAACAGATCAAATCAATAAATTCAGTCCAAATGAACAGTTCTAAGTAATTTAGGTATATGCTTAAAATATTAAAAAATAAAACTTTCTTTTACTTTTAATATTTCAATTTAAAACCAAACATATAAAACGGAAAACTGCCATTTTTATCATTTTGTGTGCCATTGGTTTGTTTAAGTGCTCCCCAAAATGCACAAAAGGCAGAGCTCATTATGTGTATTGAGGGGCTGAAACACGGAAAGCGTACCTTTAGAAAGAAGCCCTTCAAGCAAATCTTTTAAAAGAGGATTTAAATCAGCAGGAAGGCACAATGGGTCATTTACTATCTGGAGAATGAGTGAATGGTTTAGACATCAATATAGAACAACAACAAAAATAAATGAATGTTTAAGAGGGCCAGTAAAAAAATTAAAGCAAAAATGTTTAAACACCTTATCATATGTGTCTTGAAGGGTGTCACCAAGAAAAGGATATTTCCCCATGATCATGCAATATAGAGTCACACCAACTGCCCAAGTGTCAGCAGCTTTTCCATGATAAGTCAGACCTAAGCAACACTCAGGCGCAGTAAAAACAGGAGTTCCAGGTGATCGCCGGAGCTCATCATCATCATCCTAAGCAGAAGACAGAGACAAAGATTGGTAACTTTGCTGGTTTTGGATTCTATATTATAACATCACAGCAAAGGAATACAATAAGACCTGGATTCAAAAGTCACACTTTACCCCGGCTCAAATATAAGACTATGAGAGTCATGTTTGACCAATGCACAATTACAAATTTTAAAATTTACTCATACTTTTACAACATAATTGTTGTGTTAACCAAATTTTATACTCAAACTTGACTTGTCTGAGATGGAATTTTGCAAACTACATGAAAAATTATCTATTCTTGTTATTTTTTATACTCAAACTAGACTTGTCTTATTTGGGACAAAGAAGTGTCTAAATTGACTTTTTCATTCTGAGATAGAGGTAACATCTATTGTCAACTTTGGCAGAAACAAGTTTCACCGGTACAAAACTTAGCCCATTTATAGTTTATAACCAGGAATTACCTCAAAAGCTTGGCTGACGCTAAAATCAGCAATTTTCACAGTGCCGGTTGCAGAAACCAAGAGATTATCAGGTTTAATATCCCCATGTATTATGTTCTGTTTAGCAGCAGACACAATGCACCACATTAATAATTCAAGCAAAAACTAAATACCAGGAAATTAAAACAGGTTGAACAGTTAGTTGACTCATACATGGGAGTGCAGATACATCAAGCCAGATACTATATCCCGTAGGTATCTGCGTGCAGTGTTTTCTCCAAGACCACCTGGTGAACCATCACCTTGAAAGACCCATTTACCCTCCACATATTCCAGAACTGATAGGAGAGATTACAGGTAGGTGGGGTAAATTAGAGAGCAAGTTAGGTCAACTCAATATCAATATGCAATGATCTGAATAGTGTAGGGCGCATGGCTACAGAGAAAGAACCAAAGGAGATGCAAAGGAATACCCATATAAAAATGATCTGTTCTTGGGTCATCAATCACTTCAAAGAGATTAACTATATTGGGGTGGCTTAGAAGTTTCATGATTGAAACCTGAAAAAAAAAAGGAAAATACTTTGTAATCAGGATAAATCCAAGCAAATTATGTAAAGTAAAGAAATCTAACTCATCAATCAATGAAAAAAAGTAACAAAAAAAATATAATTGCTTGTGTATAAAAGCACCAATAAATATCATTATCATCAACAATAATGAAAAATAAGAAAATTAATAAATTTCACTAATATGTGTTTAATCATAAAAATACAAATTCTAGACCATAGATTACTAAGAAGTTTGGAAGCCACAACGTAATCATGATATTTATAAAGTACTATAGATCAAATAATGTATGAATGTATCTAACATCCATAACAATATAACATCAAATAAAGTATTTCAGCCTCACCCATAACCCATAATAGTGAGGTAAATGTAAAAGGAAGAACAGAATTGGTAAAAGAAAATAAATACCTCGCGAAGGACATCACTCATTGCAGTCTCAGATGGGGCAACCCGTTGCTTTAACAAGTGAGACTTGCGAAAGGCCTGTGTTAAAGTATAACGAAAAGCTGCTCATTAGGAGGAACATCAAATCATTAAACTCAGGCCTGTGTTAAAGTATAACGAAATGCTGCTCATTAGGAGGAACATCAAATCATTAAACTCTTACATGTGACCCCTCTTATCCAAATCATTCAGAATGAAATTCAGAATGCTGCTGTGGGCCTATTTTTTCAAATATACTCAGCAGCTAGTATGTCAATGTAGTTTTTTCTACAATTAAGTAATTAACCTTGACAAAAAAGTATGAACTCTCTGCAATGACTACACTTGTGAGTTACTTATAATTGAATAGGTCCCAAGTCAGACTATAAGGATCCAACAGCACCAAAAAAATTATATAAATATGGTGTGGCGTATACACATGTAGACATAGGGTACGGTTCTAATAAGAACAACACTTATCGTGAGAATGTGAGAACACACATTAACTTTGCTCAAACCAAGCCAATATTAAATAATCGAGGTGGCATTTTGGTTAATATTATGCCGAATGCGACAAAGTGCAATGGACATGCTTCATAGTGCATTAGATGGGGCTAAGTGTGTGTTCTCACGTTTTCACGATAAGTGTTGTTCTTATTTAATCTAGAATCTGTATACATATGTATGTATGTATGTCGTATGTATATTACTAAATTAAGCTAAGCAAACATGAAGATAGATTAAATAACTAGATCAACAATCAAGACATGTCTTACATTTTCAATCAAAATACCCAGAAATAAACATCCAACAATATGACCATGATCAAGCTCGTTTAAGAGCTACTTAAAGAGTCTTAGAATAATTTTAAGAATATGTGCAGCCAAAAATAAAGATCCCACCTTTATGGCATAGTACTTTCCATCTATAGAGCTTTGATACAGAACCTGCATTTAAAGAGCATAAAAAGTGCAGATTAATTACTAATTAGAAAAATTTGTCGTGCACCGGGAAATATAAGACAATGTTTGCATACAACTTACAACTTTCCCATAGCTACCAGAACCAATCTTATATTTATGAACATACTCGTTCACCATCTTGCTCCCATTCTCATCCTAGAAGAAGCAGAAGGGCCCATGTTACCAAGCATAATAAATAAGGAGATAAAATATTGTAGCATTGAGGATTTCATCGACGAGACTAGAAATAACAGGAGATCCAACAGCATAAGGTAGATTCAGTTAATAAAATGCCTAAAGCAGATGGCCCCATATTAGAAGAAATTTCTGCATTTAGATACTGGCACCATGGTTGTAAGAGGAGGTTAATAGGCGGGTTTTGAGCCTTTGAGGTGCACCTTAATGTGAGGCGCAGAGATCAGGCATTGAGTCTTAGGTTTTTTTAGATGGTAAGAGGCTTAAACCTCAAAAGTCAGGACGGACACCTTGAAGCATGTCTCAACTCTCAAGGCATTTTTTGAGGCATTTTTATTTCTTTCTTTCTATGCTGGGTGTAACTTAAAGAAGGCCCAGTAAATTGTATTTAATACTTCGTAAAAGGCCCGTACATTAAACATGTGTCCACATATACTTTTTAAACCCTAACAAGTCTGGCAAATGAAACATCACTATAATAAGACTGGTTTCCAATGGAGGTAGATGAAGAAGAAGAAGAAGAAGAGTCACTCTATTTTGATAGTAATAATGGAATGGACGATGGTGATAAGGCTATAAGATATGATGATTCTTCCAAAGAGCCTTAATGTCATGATGATTAAGATTCAAGATTTCTAAATTATGTCATTGGTGTGATTGGTTTGTTTGTGTGTTTAAATTCTCATTTTGAACTATTGTGTTTGATGATGTGATCATATAATGTGTTTGAGTTTGAGACTTTTTAGACCTATAAATATGCCGTTTTTAGTAGTTTAACTATTTTAAGTTTTATTTGTTGGTATATTTTGAAGCTTAAGCCTCAATACAACTCAAGGCTTACACCTCGCCTCCCTGGAACAAACCGCCTCGATACAGGAACTAGTGTATTTAAAACTTGAAAGGCACAAAAAGTAGTTATTACCTCAGAGCGTGCTAATATGCGGGTTTCCTTAACAGGAAATTCCCTGCACATCAATCCTTTCTGAGCTCTTGTTAAGAGAATCTCCTCAGAACGCTTAACTGGGGTACGATAATCGCCATCATCTCCATTACAAGTATCAGTCCCATCACCATTGTATGAGCCGACATCGTCGTCTTCTATATCTTCTTCCGCATCTTCATCCAGCAACGGCTCCTGCGAAGGATGGTTGCTCAATCCCAACCCCTTGCTGGGCCTCAAAACTTTTTTAGTCTTTCTTGTAAATGAGAATCCAAAACATCCACAGCAACCCATCTCTGTTACTTTATCAAAGGTCTCTCTCTTCATGAACATCAACAATTGATCAAAAAAATGTCTGGCTACAGTATAAATGAAATCAACAAATGGAACCGGAACCTGAAAATAAGCCAAACCAATATTGATTTCTTAAAGCAGCAGAACAATATAAAGGAGCCAGGCAATTTTGGGTTCCCAAGATTTTCGATCAATACAATATTCATAAATTTTGTATGCATAAACATGGTAAGATATACTAAGGCAGCACTTCATTCATAATTTAAAAAAAAAAATACAGAAGCTAGGAGATAACCTTGCGAATGAAAGCTGTGACGGTGGGGATCAATCCCCTATCAGCGCTGCTTTTCCAGAGGATGCCATTCAGAAAAGTGGGAGAAGCAGTTAATCAAATTGATTCCATTCCGATTGAACGCCAACATCATGAGCGCTCCAGCTTATTGACGAGAATGGCAAATAAACCAGAGCAAGCTGCAATCTTCTCCTTCCCCAGAGGCCAAACCAACGAGCCCTACAACATAAATAACATTTTTTTGACCTAAAACACAATAAACTAATGCACGACGAAAGAAAAAATAAAAAGTCAAAAACAATGTATGTAGAGCTGTCTTCCTTCAAATAATTTAAAATATTTAGGAGTATAAATGGAGAATATTATTTTTTTATCCATAGCTTGTAGTATGGGCAGGGCCCTTTTTTAGCATGTTTATTAGGTTCGATGGAACATGGCCTCACTTTGCATGAGGCCCCAATATTTATAAGATGTTAGTGGTATTATTTTTAGATCACTAACATTAATTTATTATGTAATGTAATAGTGTATACTATCATACATGAATATGGGTTGCAGCCTGCAGCTAAACTCACACTCCACTACTCCGTATAATAATGCCCTCATAAATTAAAACCATTTACAAAAAATGTAGAGATTAATTATTTGAAAGGGAAAGTTACAATATGTAATTCTGTAATTACATTATTTAATGAGTATTCAATTGGTTTGAATATAATAAGAATCTACATCGAGTATGTTTTGTAGTTTTTTATATTGACGAGGGGCCTCAAATTTGCATTTTGAACAGGGGCCTCCAAATTCATTAGACGGCCCTGAGTATGGGATAAGGGTCAGATAGGGCCTCGAACTTCAAAAAAAAATGTCAAATAAGGCCATATTTAGGATGCTCTGTCCGGCCGACGCCATTTGGGGTGATTCCCGGTGGAATTTTTTGATGATTTTTTTTGAGAATCTTATTCATTAAGTCTAGTTTACTCATATCAAATTTGAACTAACAATTCAATCGGGAAGACATTCAAATGAATTCATGAAGATAACTGCGCTTTTAACGGTACAGTTATCTTCAAGAATTCATTTGAATGCCTACCCGATTAAAGTTTTAGTTCAAATTTGATATGAGTAAACTAGACTTAATGAATAAGATTCTCAAAAAATTTCATCAAAAAATTCTACCGGGAACCACCCCGAATGGCGTCGGCCGGACAGAGCATCCTAAATATAGCCTTGTTTGACATTGTTTTTCAAGTTCGAGACTCTATCTGACCCTTATCTCATTAATTAATTACATTTCTTGTCCGTGATATTAGTGGCTTACAATTGTTTTTTTTGGTACATGCTTACAATTGTTTTTACTTGTACTCGTTTAAGTATGGTTTAAGGATGTTTTTATTTTGGACCCTAATTTGCTGGTCTGATCTGGTCTAAACTGATTTGGCGTGGTTTGGTCTGATCTCGTCTGGGATAGATTACAGTTCAAGTAACAACATTCTAAGTATCGAATGAGACTGATAGACTTAAACAGATCAGACCAAACAACACGTAAAGGGACCAGCTGTCCAGACATCTATAATTTCGATAGTTATAAAATAGACCTAGACCAGATGTTTACCAGACCAGATCATACCGGATTTAAATATATTAGACTATATAATTTCAATTCAATTAAAAGCATTCTTACACATCTACAAACATTATGGGGGTGTTTGGTTAATGGCCTATCAGTCATTTTTCGGCTGATTTGACCATTATTTGGCTTTTTGACCAGATAAATAGTCAATAGGAATGTTTGGTTAATTAGCTTTTTCACTTGGCTTTTTATCTCAAACAGCCAAAATTAAAAAAGCTGATAAACATGGCGTTTAGATGGTCCGCCGTTTAATATCTAAGGCAAATTCTTATTTTGCCCACGCTGCTCCTATTACTCTATTAGTGCTCGTCAACAAAAAAAAATATAGCTGGACCAAGCGCACGTACTTCTCCCTATAACAAGCTATGGTGCTTCTATCTTCACTTTTATTTTTTCATTTGCAAATCAGCAATTCTGAAATAAATAAAACCTATCCTTTTAAAACAACAAATCAAACATGTCATAGCACATGTCAATCGTTGTAACTTGTGCCATGTAAAATTATTAGCAAAATTTAATCGTTTTTTTGGCAAACATATACTCCGTATAAAGTACTCCGTAGTTAATAAACAAAAACGAATTAATCCTTTAAAAAACTAAACATATTAATTGATGTGCTTAAGAGTAATTTAACAAATTATCAGCCGATTGTAAAAAGTTGTTTAACCAAACACTGTTTTATAAACAGCTATCATTATCAGCTAATCAAACCAGCCAACAGAATCCGCTGTCACTAATCAGCCAACAGAATCAGCCAACAGCCAACAGCCAACGACCAATTGCCAAACACCCCCTATGTTATTGCGAAATACTTTGTATTCAATAATAATTGCGGAGTAGTTAATAGAAGTATATAGAGCCAGTTTGGTGACACTGAAATCAGCTGATTCTGATGAAATTTATGAAGTTGTGGTTGAAGTAACTGAATTCATCGATTCTGTTGATTTAAGAAAATATATATAGTATATTTTATTAATAAAATAAAGAAAAACTTACATGAAAAATATCTAAAATGATTTTCTACAGTAACTTCATCCAATACAGACAGAAAAGTAACTCTAATTTTATTTTTTCTTATTATTACACAACTCATCGCGCAAAATAAAAAAAAATACATGTTTGGTGTAAAAGTTAGTTGATAAGTCCGATAAGTCAAAAACAGGGTCACCAAACAGGCTCATTGTATAGTTATATACTGTCTTTACAAATCACAAGGAAGGTTAAAAGTTGAAACTATGAATAGTAAGATTAAAATCATTTTCGAAGTATGAGTAACTAAAATTAACAAATAGGGATGAATACGATTAAAATGAAATAATAAAAAAATGTTATTTTAACACACAATGACTATGATGATATTTTCACATTACTACGATCAATGTAAATTATAAGAATTTAGTTACCATATAGCTATATTTTATTTATATTTTTGCTTATTAATACTTTAGAAACTTAAAAGAGAAACTAATAGTAATGATAACCACAAAACAAACTATGATGATGAAGATAAAGGCACATGATATTATGAAACTCTTGTTTAAAGTGTGTTGCAGTGTTGGTATTTACTTTAATATTATTGTACTTGAATTTTTGAAAAATGTATAAAATATGTTTATTTGATATAGTTGTTGTTAGTACATGACACATTAACATTTGTGTTAATTTAAAAATTAAGTACTTAATAATATGCCTTCATCATGAAAGAGGACACAAAAAAATGTAAATTCAAATAAGCGTTGCTAGAGTCTACTCTTCAAATATCTAATATATATATACCTTAATATTGATGGTTGACATTCCATCTAATATAAATCAAAAGGTACATTAATATAAGCAAAAAAAGGTCAAATACACCTCCCTACTATTTCCGATTTCATCACTTAAGCTCTTTTACTTAAAAAAATGTCATATAAGTACACTTACTTGTGAAATGTAGTGAATCAAACCATTTAATCTATAGCAAGTTATTAATTAAAAATATTAATAAACCTTACAACAATCCATATAAATTTGAATAAATAATCTAATAATAATAAAGAGTATATATGTAAAAAGTAGATAAAACAAATTAAAACGTTAAATAAAAAAGTAAAATAGCATAAAATAAAGTGAAAACAAAAAAAAAAGTTAAAAACCTTTAAAATAGATGTAGAATATACAAATAATCTTGAATAATAAAAAACATTGAATTTGATATTCTGAAAATTTGAACAATTTTTGTATACATTCTTTTAAGTTTTAACTATTTTTTAGAGTTTTTGAATATTAAAAAATCATATAATTACACCAACACATCTATAACAACTTTGAGCAAATTAAACGTTCAAACATTGAACACCTTTAGAAAATATCGTATCGTAAGATAGGTGTATATGAGCAAATTTATAAAGATTTGGGATTTTGTGATAATGAAAACAACTTTGTTTTAAAAAAGCAAATCCCTTTGAATTTACCATTTTAAACTGATATCTATTGGTAAACAAGTTGAAGAACGAAAGCAAGAGAAATTGCAAAAAAAAAATGAAAGAATCAATTGTGAACAACTTAAGAGTCTAATACTATGAGTAAATCGAAACACTTAATAATTGCAATTAAGTTAATCATGAGAAGTCAAATGAACTCCACTCTATGGAGTACATAAGACGAAGTCAAAGAGTGTTTGTAAAAGATTTAGAAAGTATTTTTTCATCCTTTTGTTTATATTTACAATTTTATCAATCTTAGCAGTCAATTTTTTTTTTACTAAATACGTCATTTTTTATTTTGAACGTTGAATTGGGCAATAATAATCAAAGTAAGTAAGTTTGAGATTACTTTAACTCTGAATGAAGTTATTGTACATAGATGACTACTTTAGTTATTATTTTTATAATTTTATCTGATCAACAAAATATAATTTAAATTCAATTTTATAATAATTCAGCAGTTTCAATCAATTCAGCCGTTTCAATAAGCATTTCACCAATTTTTGCAGATTCAGTTGATTCAGTCAATTTTATTATTACCATACTGCTCTAAATTTGTCAAAAAAAAATAGTATTGCTAGTTATAGTTTTTCTATTTCTTGCTTGAGAAAGAAGGGAAAATAGATATCAATATTCCAAAAGCTTGTTACATACCCCGTAGTAATGTAGTACTACGTATTTATTTGTTGAGGAAAAGAAATCTTACAGACTACGTATTTTCCCGAGAAAATTGCTCCATGTAAGACTTAATCATAGCATTTTTATAAAAATAGTACTTACATACGTTTTTTCTTTGCGTAAGAGCCATGTGGTTCTATTTTTGAAAACTGGATTTTAAACTTCCAGTTTTACCCTTCTTTTACGTGACCTGCTCTGCTATTGAGCTATTATCAAAATTTATTGTCTGTTTAATGACTACTTAGTGTCTATGTATTGCCTGCTATTGAACTATTATTAGAACTTATTGTCTATTTACTGACCACTTAATGTCTATGTATTGTCTAGTGTTTGCAAGTTTGATTTTGGATCTGGTTTCTTCAAACATTTTGCAGAATACCTGTGGTGTTGTAAACGTTTCTTCAAACGTTTAAAATGTTTGATTAAAAAATTTCCAAATCCAATTA